GGAGTCATAGGCTGAAATACCTAAGAAAGAACTGTAACACTGCTTAATGGCAATGCTCTGGTTCAGCTGTAAATAAAGTTTTTACGTCATGCACAGGTGCGCACGCGCGCACACACACACACACACACACAAAGCATATAAGAGAGTGCTTGTGCCATCCTTCCCCCCAGACCCAGGCTACACAGATCATGGATCAAAAAAGGCTCCTTCCTTCTGCTTGAAGACAGGAGAGAGAAAAGTAAAGAATTTGTCTTGGATTCTTGGATACTAGCTCACCCACAGTAGAATAGTGTATTAGTCCATTTTCATGCTGCTGATAAAGACGTAGCTGAGATTGGGCAATTTATGAAAGAAAGAGGTTTAGTAGATTTACAGTTCCACACACCTGGGGAGGCCTCACAATTATGGCAGAAGGCAAGGAGATGCAAGTCATGTCTTACTTGGAAAGTAGCAGGCAAAGAGAGAGAGAGCTTGTGCAGGGAAACTCCCATTTTTAAAACCATCAGATGTCATAAGACTTATTCACTATCATAAGAACAGCATAGGAAATACCCAACCCCATAATTCAATTACCTCCCATTGGGTACCTCCCACAACATGTGGGGATTCAAGATCAGATTAGTGTGGGGACACACCTAAACCATATCAAATAGGGCACCAGTCACAGATGTGAGGCCCCTTTTATAGGTCTTAGCTCCGAAACATTTCTAGACACACCCTGGGCCAGGCGGGAACCCATTGTCTTAAAAGAAAGGGCCCAGTCTTGGCAGGACACATCACCTACTGTCTAAATAGCCCTTTTGCCCTGAGTAACCAGCAGTGATACCCAGATAGTATGCTATGGGCCTTGGGTGAGACTCTCAGATGTGGTGGCTTCAGATGAGACCGAGCACACTCTGAGCTGTGGTGGCTAAGGTGAGACATTCCTTTTGCTTGAGAAAAGAACAGGGAAAAGTAAAGAGAACTTTGTCTGGCACCATAGGTACCAGCTCAGTCACAGTGGGGTAGAGCACAAAGGGGTTCTTAGGGTCCCTGATTCTAGGTCTAGGCCTTGTACAGGATTTCTGGACCTGCCCTGGGACAGAGGGGAGCCCACTGCCTTGAAGGGTGAGTTGTAGTCCTAGCAGCATTTACCACAAGCTAACTGAAGAGTCTTTGGGCCTTAAGTGAACATTGGTAGTGTTGTATTGGATCGAGCGTAGAAAGTTAGCACCAAGACAAAAGTATGCCAGATTGCAGGGTCATTTATTATGCCAGCGACCACAGAGGACTCATGTCTCTCCAACCTGTGGCATCAAAAGGAGGGTGCCAAGACTTTTTATACCCGAAAAACCACCTTGGGAGTAGGGGTGAGGAGCGGGGATGAAGATGAAAAGGTTTCGGACATTCCAAGGGCCAGGGGATTCTGTGATTCACCTCCTGGGCGGAGACGAGGGTGGGGGTCTCCGGACACTCCAAGGTCCAGGGGATTCTGTAATTCACCTCCTGGGTGGAGACAAGGGCGGAGGTCTCCGGACATTCCAAGGTCCAGGGGACTTTTGTCATTCCGTTTGTTACTTCAGTGGTTTACAGAAGTCAAGGTACACATTTGTTTACACATTGTCTGGGTGGTGATAGAAGTCACAGATTTTAGCAGTTACTGATAAGAAAAGGTAAGCAGCTTTACATAGTTTGCAGAACAAACTAGCAGTTCTATTTACAGAGGCCAAGGCCAGTAGTTATTGTGAGGAGAATGGGGCAGCCATTGCAACTTATTTAAAAAACAGTTTTGCATTTTATAAAAATGGCATTGCTCAGGTTCTGGCTCTAGGCCAGCACAATATCACAGTAGTAACATGGCAGTACTCCCCATGGGCCTGTGGTGGTGATGGCCACAGAACAAGACTCCTCTGCTTGTGGAAAGGAGAGGGAAGAGTGGGAAAAACTGTGTTTCATGGTCTGAGTGCCCACTCATCTGCAGTAGAATAGAACACCATGTAAATTTCTAAAGTATTTGACTCCAGTCCCTGGCTCAAGAATGGCATCCCTGGACCTGCCCAGAGCCTGAAGGAACTTGCTGCCCTGAAGGGAAGGACACAAGCCTGGCTGGCTTTGCCACCCGTGGATCATAGAACCTCAGGGTCATAGTCAGTTAGTGGTCATAGTGGGCCTTGGGTAAGACCCAGTTCTGTGCTGGCTCCAGGTCTGACCCAGCACAGTCCCACTGGTGGTGGCCACAGGCATGCTTGTGTCACCCTATCCCCAGATTCAGGTGGCTCAGCACAGAGAGAGAGAGAACTCAATTGTTTGTGAGAAAGTAAGAGAAGATTGCAAGTATCACTACCTATTAATCTAGATAATTTTTCCAGATCTTATCTAAGACCACCAAGGTGGTGCATCTATGAATCTACAAAAACCACAGCCTTATTGGAATTGGGGCCTAAGTGCCTTTGATTATACCAGAAAAGCCTTCCAAGAAAGCGTGGGGACAAACAAGCCCAAACTATGAAGTCTACAATAAATACCTAACTCTTCAATGCCCAGACACAGAGAGAGATATCCACAACCATCAAGACCATCCATGAGAACATGTCTTCACCAAGTGAACCAAATAAGGTACTAGGGACCAATCCTGTAGAAACAGAGATATGTTACCTTTCAGACAGAGAATTCAAAATCTCTGTGTTGAGGAAACTCAAGGAAATTCAAGATAATACAGAGAAGGAATGCAGAGTTCTATTAGATAAATTTGACCAAGAGATTGAAATAATTTAAAAAAGAATCAAGCAGAAATTCTAGAGATGAAAAATGCAATTGGCATACTGAAGAATGCATCAGAGTCTCTTAACAGAGGAATTGATCAAACAGAAGAAAGAATTAGTAAGATTGAAGACATGTTATTTGAAAATAGACATTCAGAGAAGTTAAAAGTAAAAAGAACAAAGGACCCCTACAAGATCTAAAAAATGACCTCAAAAGATCATGTGTGAGAGTTATTGACCTTAAAGAAGAATTAGAGAATGAGATAGAGATAAAAAGTGTATTCGAAGGGATAATATCAAAGAATTTCTCAAACCTAGAGAAAGATATCAACATTCAAGTATAAGAGGGATATAAGACACTAAGCAGATTTGGCCCCAAAGAAGACTACTACAAGGCATTTAATAATCAAACTCCCAAAAGTCAAACATAAAGAAAGAATCCTAAAAACAGGAAAAGAAAGGAAACAAATAATATACAATGGAGCTCCAATATCACTGCAAGCAGATTTCTCAGTGGAAACCTTACAGGCCAGCACAAAATGGAATGACATACTTAAAGTGCTGAGGGAAAAAGCTTTTATCCGAGAATGACACATTCTATAAAAATCTCATTTAAAAATTAAAGAGAAATAAAGCCTTTCTCAGGCAAACAAATGCTGAGAAATTTTATCAACATCAGACCTGTCCTACAAGAAATGCAAAAGGGTGTATTTTAGTCAGAAAGAAAAATCTGTTAATAAGCACTAAGAAATCATCTGGAGATACAGAACTCACTGGTAACAGTAAGTAAACAGAAAAACAGAATATTATAACCCTATAACTGTGGTGTACAAACTACTCACAGAAAGACTAAAAGATGGACCAATCAAAATTAATAACTACAACTACTTTTCAAGACAGTACAACAGTTATAAATAAAAACAACAAAAGATAAAAAAAACAGGGAGACAAAGTTAAGATATAGAGTTGTTATTAGTTTTTTGTTGTTGTTGCTTATTTTTTATTTGTTTGCTTATGCAAGTAATGTTGTTATCAGCCTAAAATAATGGGTGATAAGATAGCATTTGCAAGCTTCATGATAACCTCAAATCAAAAAACATACAACAGATACACAAAAAATAAAAAGCAAGAAATTAAATCATACCAGCAGAGGAAATCGCCTTCAGTAAAAGAAAGAAAATAAGGAAAGAAGGAAAAGGAGACTACAAAACAACAAGGAAACAAATAGGAAAATGGAAGGAGTAAGTTCTTACTTATCAATAATAACATTCAATGTAAATGGACTAAACTATTCAATGAAAAGACATACAATGCTGAATGGCCCCCCTCAAAAAACCAAGACCCAATGATCTGTTGCCTTAAGAAACACACTTCACCTATAAAGATACATGTAGACTGAAAATAAAGGGATGGAAAAAGATATGCCATGCCAATGAAAAACAAAAACAAAAACAAACAAACAAAAAGAGCAAGAATAGCTATACTTCTATCTTTTGTCTTGAAGTCTATCAGATAAAAATAGCCTCAAGACAAAAACTATAAAATGAGACAAAGAAATTCACTATATAAGGATAAATAGGTCAATTCAACAAGAGGATGTAACAATTGTAAATAGAGGTGCACCCAACACTGGAGCACCCAGATATATAAAGCAAATATTATTAGAGCTAAAAAAGGAAGTGAACCTCAATTAAATAATATCTGGAGACTTCAACACTCCACTTTCAACATTGGACAGCTCTTCCAGACAGAAAATCAACAAAGACACATTGGACTTAATTTGCACTGCAGACCAAATAGACCTAATAGATATTTACAGAACATTTAATCCAGTGGCTACAGAATACATATTCTTTTCCTCCACACATGAATTATTCTAAAGGATAGATTATGTGTTAGGTAGCAAAACAAGGCTTAAAACATCTCCAAAATTTGAAATGATGTAAAGCATCTACTCTGACCAAAATGGAATAAAATTAGAAATCAATAACAATAGGAATTTTGGAAACTATACAAGCAAATGGAAATTAAACAATATGCTCCTGAACAACCAGTGGGTTAATGAAGAAATAAAGAAGAAAATAGAAAATGATAATGGAAATGCAACATACCAAAACCTATGGGATATAGTGAAAGCAGTACTAAAATGGTAGTATATAGATATAAGCAACTACATTAAAAAAGAAAAAAAAAAACCCTTCAAATACATATGCCAACAAATTGGAAGATTTAGAAGTGGATAAATTCCTAGACACATACAACCTACCAAGATTTAACCATGAAGAAATCCAAAATCTGAACATATCAGGAACTAGTAATGAGATCAAAGCCATAATAAAAAGTCTCCCAGTAAAGAAAAGTTCAGAACCTGTTGGCCTCACTGCTGAATTCTACCAAACATTTAAAGAGCTAATGCCAATCCTACTCAAACTGTTCCAAAAAATTGAGGGGGAGGAAATACTTCCACACCATTCTATGAGGCCAGTATTTCTCTGATACCAAAACCAGAAAAAGGAACATCAGGAAAAAATGAAACAAAACTATAGGCAAATATCGCTGATAAATGTTGATGTGAAAATCCTCTAAAAATACTAGTGAACTAAATTCAAAAACATATTTAAAAGAACTTTACCACATTGATTTTGTATACAGACTTTGCTAAAGTTGTTTATCAGCTTAAGGAGCTTTGAACCTGAGACTATGGAGTTTTCTAGATATAGAATCATCAGCTGGGTGCAGTGGGTCAAGCCTGTAATTCCAGCACTTTGGGAGGCTGAGATGGGTGGATCACCTGAATTCAGGAGTTTAAGACCAGCCTGGCCAATGTGATGAAACCCCATATCTACTAAAAATAAAAAATTAGTCAGGCGTGGTGGTGCACCCTTGTAATCCCAGCTACTTGGGAGGCTGAGGCAGGAGAATTGCTTGAGCCTGGGAGGCAGAGTTCGCAGTGAGCTGAGAACACATCACTGCACTCCAGCCAGGGTGACAGGAGTGAAACATAGTCTCAAAAAAAAAAAAAAAAAAAAGAATCATCTTCTGCAAACAGTGATAGTTTGAATTCCTCTCTTCCAATTTGGATGCCCTTTATTTCTTTCTCTTGCCTAATTGCCCTTGCCATGACTTTGAATACTGTGTTGAATAGGAGTGGTAAAAGAAATTCCTTGTCTTGTGCCAGTTTTCAAGGGGAATGCTTCCAGCTTTTGCCCATTCAGTATAATATTGGCTGTCAATTTGTCATAGATGATCCTTATTATTTTGTGGTATATTCCTTCTATACCTAGTTTATTAAGAGCTTTTAACATGAAGGGTTGTTGAATTTCTAACAAAGGCCTTTTCTGCATGTACTGAGACAATCATGTGATTTTTATCTTTAGTTTTGTTTATGTGATCAATCACATTTATTAATTTGCCTATGTTGAACTAACCTTGCATTCCAGGGATAAAGCCCACTTGGTTATGCTGGATTAGCTTTTTGATGTGCTGCTGGATTCAGTTTGCAAGTATTTTGTTGAGGATTTTTGCACTGATATTTATCAAGGATCTTGGCCCGAAGTTTTGTTTTTTGTTGTGTCTCCATCAGGTTTCGGTATCAGGATAATTCTGGCCTCACAGAATAAGTTAGGACAGAGTCCTTCCTCCTCAATTTTTTGAAATAATTTCAGCAGGAATGGTACCAGCTCCTCTTTGTACATCTGGTCAAATTCAGCTATCAATCCATCTGGACCTGGTCCTTTTTTTTTTTTTTTGGTTGTAAGCAATTTATAACTGGCTCAATTCCAGAGTTATTATTGGCCTGTTTAGGGATTCAATTTCTTCCTGGTTGAGCCTTAGGAGGCTGTATTTGTCCAGAAATTCATCCATTTCTTTTAGATTTTATAGTTTATATGCATGGAAGTGTTCATAATATTCTCTGATGGTTGTTTGTATTTCTTTGGGGTCAGTAGTAAAATCCTCCTTGTTGTTTCTGTTTGTGTTTATTTGAATATTTTCTATTTTCTTCCTTATTAGTCTAGCTAGTGGTCTATCTAGTTTATTATTTTTTTTATAAAACCAGCTCTTGGATTTGTTGATCTTTGGAATGTTTTCTCATGTCTCAATCTCCTTCATTTCAGCTCTGATTTTGCTTATTGCTGGTCTTCTGCTGGTTTTTTGATTTCTTTGCTCTTGGTTCTCTAGTTCTTTTAGTTGTAACGTTAGGTTGTTAATTTGAGATCTTTCTAACTTTGTGACATGGGCATTTAAGGCTAAAAATTCCCCTCTTATCATTGCCTTAGCAGTGTCCCAGAGATTCTGGTATGTTGTATCTTTGTTCTCATTAATTTCAAAGAACTTCTTGATTTTTGCCTTAATTTCATTATTTAATCAAAAAGTCATACAGGAGTAGGTTACTCAACTTCCATGTAATTGTAATGTTTAAAGTAAATTTCTCAGTCTTGATTTCCAATTTGATTGTTCTGTGGTCTGAGAGATTCTTCCTTATGATTTCAGATTTTTGGAATTTGCTGAGGAGTTTTTACTTCTGATTATGTGATCAATTTTAGAGTATGTGCCAAATGGCAATGAGAATGTATATTCTGTTGTATTAGGGTAGAGAGGTCTGTAGATGTACATCAGGTCCACTTGATCCAGTGCTGAATTCAGGTCCTGAAGACTGGATAAAAAAAATATTGGTACATATACACCATGGAATACTATGCAACCATAAAAAAGAATGAGATCATATCCTTTGCTGGAACATGAATGGAGATAGAGGCCATTATCCTTAGCAAACTCATGCAGGAACAGAAAATAAAATTCCATTTGTTCTCACTTATAAGTAAGAGCTAAATGATGAGAACACATGGACACATAGAGTAGAATAACACACTGGGTTCACTCAGAGGTTGGAGGGTGAGAAGAGGCAGAAGATTATGAAAAATGACTAAAGGGTATTAAGCTTAAAACCTGGGTGATTAAACAGTCTGTGCAACAAACCCCCATGGCACAAGTTTACCTATATAACAAACCTGCACACTCAATCAGTATAATATATCACATCAACAGGATAAAGAATAAAAACCATATGATCATTTCAATTGATGCTGTAAAAGCATTTGGTAAATTCAACATCCCTTGATGGTAAAAACCCTCAAAAAACTGGGTATGGAAAGAACTTATATCAACATAACCAAAGCCATATATGACAGACACACAGCTAGTATCATGCTGAATAGGAAAAAAACTGAAAGCCTTTCCTCTAAGATCTGAAACATGACAGGGATGCCCATATTCATCACTGTTATTAAACACAGTACTGAGAGTCTTATCCTGAGCAACCAGATAAGAGAGGGAAACAAAGGGCACCTCAGTTGGAAAGGAAGAAGTCAAATTATCCTTGTTTGCAGATGATATAATCTTACATTTGGAAAATCCTAATGACTCCATTAAAAAACTACTAGAACTGGTTAATAAATTAAGTAAAGTTGCAGGACACAAAATCAACATACGATAATCAACAACATTTCTGTACACCACCAGCAAACAATCTGAAATATAAGTCAAGAAAATAATGCCATTTAGAATAACAACAAATACAATGAAATACGTAGGAATTAACTAAATAAGTGAAAGATTTCTACAATGGAAATTTTAAATCATTGATAAATGAATTTGAAGAGAACACCAAAAATTTAAAAAGGAAAGCTATTCCGTGTTCATGGATTGGAAGAACCAATACTGTTAAAATGTCTATACTACCCAAGGCATTTTGCAGATTCAACACAATCCCTATCAAAGTACCAACATGTTGTTCTTCACAGAAATAGAAAAAACGATTCTGAAATGTATATAGCACCATAAAAGATCCAGAATAACTAAAGCTATCCTAAGCTAAAAGAACAAAACTGGAGGAATCACATTACCTGACTTCAAATTATACTACAGAGCAATAGTAACCAAAACTGCAAGGCACTTTCATAAAAACAGACACACAGACCAGTGGAACAGAATAAGGAACCCAGAAACAAATCCATACAATTACAGTGAAATCAGTTTTGACAAAGGTGCCAAGAACATACACTGGGGAAAAAAAATAGTCTTTTTCATAAATGGTGCTGGGGAAAATGGATATACATATGTAGAAGAATAAAACTAGCCTCCTATCTGTCATCATACTAAAACACAAATCAAAATAGATTAAAGAATTGAATTTAAGACCTCAAACTATGAAACTACTACAAGAAAATATTGGAGAAACTCTCTAGTACATTTGTCTGAGCAAAAATTTCTTGTGTAGTAACCCACAAGCAGAGGCAGCCAAAGCAAAAATGAACAAATGGTATCACATCAAATCAAAAAACTTCTGCACAGAAACAACAACAAAACAATAAAGTGAAGAGGCAACTCATAGAATGGGAGAAAATATTTGCAAACTACCCAGCTGACAAGGGATTAATAACCAGAATATACAAAGAGCTCAAACAACTGTATAGGAAAAAAATCTAATAATCTGGTTAAAAATGGGCAAAAGATCTTAATAGACATTTCTAAAAAGAAGACATACAAATAACAAACAGGAATATGAAAAGGTCCTCAATGTCATTGATCATCAAAGAAATGCAAATCAAAACTACAATGAGGTATCATCTCACCCCAATAAAAATGACTTTTATCCAAAAGACAGGCAATAACAAATGCTGGCGAGGATGTGGAGAAAAGGGAACCCTTGTATGCTATTGGTTGGGATGTAAATTAGTACAACCACTATGGAGAGCAGTTTGAAGGTTCCTGAAAAAACTAAAAGTAGTTACCATACAATAGAGCAATCTCGCTGCTGGGTATGGGCCTCAAAGAAAAGAAATCAGGATATTGAAGGGGCATCTGTAATCCTATATTTATTGCAGCACTATTGCAATAGCCAAGATTTGGAAGCCTCCTTTGTCCATGAGCTGACAAATGGATAAAGAAAATGCAGTATGAGATAGAGAGTAGAAGGATGCTTATCAGAGGCTGGGAAAAGCAGTGTGGGTGGTGGTGGTAGAAATGGTGATAGTTAATGGGTACAATAAAGTAGTTAGAAAGAATGAGCATGAACTAGTATTTGCTAGCACAACAGGGTGAATATGGTAAAAGATTTTAATTGTGTGTTTTAATTTAAGTGTACATTTTTAAATAACTAAAAAAAAGTCTAATTGGATTGTTTGTAATACAAAGGACAATGCTCGAGGTGATGAATAGACCATTTATTCTGATGTAATTATTACACATAACAACCTGCATCAAAATATATCATGTACCTCATAAATATATACACCTACTATGTATTCACAACAATTAAAAATTTAAAAAAATAAAAGTGATCCAAGGAAACGTTGTCATGGAAGAGGGGAAGTGAGAAAGGGAAAGAGAGGAAGTCAATAAATGTTTTTATTATTAAGAAATTAATATCAGCGAACAACTGGGCCTGGGGTAACTCAGGAGCTGCCAATTCTTCCACTTGAGATGCAAGGGAGCTGACGTACTTATACAAAGATGGCAGAGAAGGGAGTGTAGGTCAAGATGGCTGAATAGACACAACTCCGGAGCAAAACACCCAGTGAGAGAGATGCAGAAATTGAGAGATCTCCTAGTTCCAACTCAGGTACCAGGTGCATTTCAGTGGGTCTGGTCAGATGGTGAGCAAAGCCCAGGCAGGGTAGACTGAGGTGGAGAGGGGTGCTGCTTCACCCAGAGAGTTCATCTGACCATTCAGTCACAGGCTCCCGCTCTTGCACTCCAGTCCAGATACAGCACTTACCCCAAAGCCTCAGCAATACACAGAACAAGGGATCTTTGTGAGTCAAGCACCGAGAATTACAAGTGCAGAGTTGAATAATAATCCAGGACAGTGTCCTGCATTGATGCACAGATCTAAGCAAATGCATAAGTCCATAAGCCTGCCAGGAGAACCTGCAGACCGAACTATCACACCCCTCCCACTGCCTGGAGATAGAGGGAGCTTACAGCGGAAAGACAGACAGATCAGCTGGGTGGGCCCCTCCCCCATGACCAGAGAGAGAGAGGGAGCTGAAAGCGGGGAGGCAGATAGTGCAGCTAGCGGGTCCCTACCCTCCCCCACAAACCCCAGAGGGCTAAAGCACTAACTCTAGTGAGTTACGTGGCCAGTGCCTCACTCTGAGCTGAATCCTGAATGATCCAGCCCTGTGGAGGAAAGACACAACTCACCATTAAAGAGATGGGACTAGGCTTCGTGTTTTAACAAAAAGCACAGGAAGCCTACGTAGTAATGGGACAGTGTTCTTGACCACCCAGCAGAGGCAGGCCTAACCTCCCAGTGTAAACAAAAAAGACACAGGAAGCCTACCTGAAGGAGTCCCTAGGAACACAGTAGGCAGACAAGGGACCTCATTAAGCAGCTTCCTGAGATCACAGCCAGGTAAATCCACGAAGATGGGGAAAAAAACAGCACAAAAAAGATGAAACCATCAAAGACCAGAACACTTCTTCTCCTTCAATGGATTATAATCCTGCAACAACATGGGAACCCAACATGACCAAGAAAGAGTGCGATTAATTGACAGAAACAGGATTCAGAAGGTGGATAATAACAAACTTTTCTGAGCTAAAAGAACACGTTCTAACTCAATGCAAAAAAACACAAAAACCTTGAAAAAAGGTTAAACGAAATGCTAACTAGAATAACCAGCTTAGATTAGAACATAAACAACTTGATGGAATTGAAAAACACAGCACGAGAACTATGTGAAGCAAACACAAGTTTTAATAGCCAAATCAATCAAACAGAAGAAAGGGTATCAGAGATTGAAGATCAACTCAATGAAATAAAAAGAGAAGGCAAGACAAGAGGAAAAAAGAGTGAAAAGAAATGAACAAAGCCTCCAAGAAATATGGGATTATGTGAAAAGACCCAATCTACGCTTGATCAGTGTACCTGAATATGACTGGGAGAATGAATCCTAGCTGGAAAACACACTCCAGGATATTATCTAGGAGAACTTCAGAAGTTTCGCAAGGCAGTCCAACAGTCAAATACAAGAAATACAGTGAACCCCACAAAGATATTCCTTAAGAAGAGCAACCCCAAGGAACATAATCGTCAGATTCACCAGGGTTGAAATGAAGGAAAAAATGCTAAGCGCAGTGAGAGAGAAAGGCCAGGTCACGCACAGAGGGAAGCCAATCAGACTCACAGTGGATCTCTTGGCAGAAACCCTACAAGCCAGAAGAGAGTGGGGGCCAATATTCAACATCCTTAAAGAAAAGAACTTTCAATCCAGAATCTCATATCCAGCCAAACTAAGCTTCATAAGTAAAGGAGAAATAAAATCCTTTATGGACAAGCAATTACTGAGAGATTTCATCACCACCAGACCAGCCCTACAAGAGCTCCTGAAAGAAAAACTAAGCATGGAAAGGAGCAAGTACCAGCCACTGCAAAAGCATACCCAATGGCAAAGACCAAAAATGCAAAGAAGAAAATGAGTCAACTAATGGACAAGAAAACCAGCCAGTAACAAAATAGCAGGATCAAATTCACAAATAACAATATTAATATTGAATGTAAACGGCCTAAACACCCCAATCAAAAGACATAGACTGGCAAATTGGATAAAAAGTAAAAACCCATCAGTGTGCTGTATTCAGGAAACCCATCTCACATACAAAGACACACATAGACTCAAAATAAAGGGATGAGAGAAGATTTACCAAGCAAATGGAGAACAAAAAAAAGCAGGGGTTGCAATCCCAGTCTCTGATAAAATGGACTTCAAACCAACAAAGATCAAAAGTGACAAAGAAGGGCATTACATAATGGTAAAAGGATCAATCCAGCAAGAAGAGCTAACTATCCTAAATATATACACACCCAACACAGGAGGACCAAGATACATAAGGCAAGTTCTTAATGACGTAAAACAAGATTTAGACTTCTACAAAATAATACTGGAAGACTTCAACACTCCACTGTCAATATTAGACAAATCAATGAGACAGAAAATTAACAAGGATATCCAGGACTTGAATACAGAGCTAGATCAAGTGGACCTAATATATGTATACAGAACACTCCACCCCAAATGCACAGGATATACATTTTTCTCAGCACCACATCGCACTTAGTCTAAAATTGATGACATGATTGAAAGCAAACCACTCTTCAGCAAATGCAAAAGAACAGAAATCATAACAAACAGTCTATCAGAGCACAGCACAATCAGATTAGAACCCAGGATTAAGAAACACACTCAAATCCACACAACCACTTGGAAACTGAACAACGAGCTTCTGAGTGTTGACTGGATAAACAATGAAATGAAGGCAGAAATAAAGATGTTCTTTGAAGCCAATCAGAATGAAGACACAACTTACCAGAATCTCTGGGACACCTTTAAAGCATGTTGAGAGGGAAATTTATAGCAATAAATGCCCACATGAAAAACAAGGAAACATCTAAAATTGACAGCCTATCATCAAAATTGAAATAACTAGAGGAGGAAGATCAAAAAAAAAAAAAAAAAACTCAAAAGCTAGCAGTAGACAAGAAATAACTAAGATCAGAGCTGAACTGAAGGAGATAGAGACACACACACAAAAAAAAACCTTAAAAAAAATCAATGATTCCAGAAGCTGTTTTGTTGAAAAGTTCAACAAAATGGACAGACCATTAGCCAGACTAATAAAAAAGAAAAGAGAGAAGAATCAAATAGATGCAATAAAAAAAAGATAAAGGGGATATCACCACTGGTCCCACAGAAATACAAACTACCATCAGAGATTACTGCAAACAGCTCTATGCACATAAACCAGTAAACCTGGAAGAAATGGAAAGATTCCTGGACACCTATACTCTACCAAGACTGAACCAGGAGGAAGTTCAAACCCTGAATAGACCAATAACAAGGGCTGAAATTGAGGCAGCAATCAATAGTCTTCCAGCCAAAAAACATCCAGGTCTAAATGGGTTCACAGCCTAATTCTACTAGACATAAGAAGAGGAGCTGTTTCCATTCCTTCTGAAACTATATCAAACAATACAAAAAGAAGGAATCCTCCTTAACTCATTTTATGAGACCATCATCCTGATACCAAAAACAGGCAGAGACTCAACTAAAAAAGAAAACTTCAGGCCAATATCCGTGGTGTACATCGATGAAAAATCTTCAATAAAATACTGGCAAACTGAATGCAACAGCACATCAAAAAGCTTATTCATCATGATCAAGTAGGCTTCATCCTGGGGATTCAAGGCTGATTCAACATACGCAAGTCTATAAATGTAATCCATCACAAAATCAGAACCAAAGACAAAAACCACATGATTATCTCAACAGATGCAGAGAAGGCCTTCAACAAAATTCAACAGCCCTTTATACTAAAAACTCTCAATAAACTAGGTATCGACAGAATGTATCATAAAATGATAAAAGCTATTTATGACAAACCTATAGCCAATATCATACGAACAGGCAAAAGCTGGAAGAATTCCCTTTGAAATCAGGCACTAGACAAGGATGCCTTCTCTCACCACTCCTATTCAATATAGTATTGGAAGTTGTAGCCAGAGCAATTAGGCAAGAAAAAGAAATAAAGGCATTCAATTAGGAAAGGAGGAAGTCAAACTGTCTCTATTTGCAGATGAGATGATTGTATATTTAGAAGACCCCATTGTCTCAGCCCCAAATATTCTCAAACTGATAAGCAACTTCAGCAAAGTCTCAGGATACAAAATCAATGTGCAGAAATCACAAGCATTCCTATATACTAATAACAGAAAAACAGAGAGCCAAATCAAGAACTAACTCCCATTCACAATTGCTACAAAGAGAATAAAATACCTAGGAATAAAACTAACAAAGGATGTAAAGGACCTCTTCAAGGAAAACTACAAACCACTGCTCAAGGAAATAAGAGAGGACACAAACAGATGGAAAAACATTCCATGCTCATGGTTAGGAAGAATCAATATTGTGAAAATGGCCATACTGCCCAAAGTAATTTATAGATTCAACACTATCCCCATCAAGCTACCAATGGCCTTCTTCAAAGAACTGGAAAAAAATCACTTTAAACTTGATATGGAATCACAAGACAGCCCACATAGCCAAGACAGTCCTAAGAAAAAAGAACAAAGCTGGAGGCATCATGCTGCCAGACTTCAAACTATACTACAGGGCTACAGTAATCAAAACAGCATGGTGCTGGTACCAAAACAGAGACATAGAGCAATGGAACAGAACGGAGGCCTCAGAGGGAGCACCACACATCTACAATCATCTGATCTTTGACAAACCTGACAAAAGCAATGGGGAAAGGACTCCATGTTTAATAGTTTTGGGAAAACTGGCTAGCACTGTGCAGAAAGCAGAAACTTTTCCCCTTCTTGTCACCTTACACTAAAATTAACCCCAGATGGATTAAAGATTTAAACATAAAGCCTAATAAACCATAAAATCACTAGAAGAAAACGTAGGCAAAACCATTCAGGACAAAGGCACAGGCAAGGACTTCATGACTAAAACACCAAAAGCAATGTCAACAAAAGCCAAGATAGGACAAATGGAATCTGATTAAAATGCAGAGCTTATGTACAGCAAAAGAAACCATCGTTAGAGCAAACTGGCAACCAACAGAATAGGAAAAAATTTTTGCAGTCTACCCATCTGACAAAGAATATCCAGAATCTACAAAGAACTAAAACAGTTATACAAGAAAAAAAAAACAACCCCACTCAAAAGTGGGCAAAGGATATGAACAGAGACTTTTCAAAAGAAGACATATATGAAGCCAAGAAACATATGAAAAAATGCTCATCATCATTGGTCAATAGAGAAATGAAATCAAAACCACATTGAGATACTACCTCATGCCAGTTAGAATGGTGATCATTGAAAAATCTGAAGACAACAGATGCTCAGAGGACATGGAGAAATAGGAATACTCTTACACAGTTGGTAGGAGTGTAAATTAGTTCAACCATTGTGGAAGACAGTGTGGTGATTCCTCAGGGATCTAGAAATAGAAATTCCATTTGATCCAGCCATCCCTTTACTGGGTATATACCCAAACAATTATAAATCATTCTACTATGAAGACACATGCACACATGTATGTTCATTGTAGCCCTGTGTAGAATAGCAAAGACCTGGAACCAATCCAAATGCCCATCATTGATAGACTAGACAAAGAAAATGTGGCACATATACACCATGGAATACTACACAGCCATAAAAAACGATGAGTTCGTGTTCTTTGTAGGGACTTGGATGAATCTGGAAACCATCATCCTCAGCAATCTGATACAAGAACAGAAAACCAAACACCACACGTTCTCACTCATAGGCAGGTGTTGAACAATAAGAACACGTGGACTCAGGGAGAGGAGCATCACACACTGGGGGCAGTTGGGGGGACATGGGACGAACAGCGGGCAGTGGGGAGGGATAACATGGGGAGAAATGCCGGATATAGTTAAAGGGGGAATACAGGCAGCAAACCACCTGGTTATGTATACACCTATGTAACAACCCTGCATGACCCGCACATGTACCCCAGAACCTAAAGTAAAAAAAAAAAAAAAGATGGCAGAGAGTTATTGGTTGAGAAACCTGAGGTGTTAGTTCTCCAACATTTTCACCTTGCTCTGTACATCTGCAACTTCAGAAATTATATTCAGGTGAAGAATGGAGAGTGGAAGATAATGGTAGCTGAAAATAGGACACAAGAGAGAAAAAATTCCAGAATAAATTCTATTAGATCAACAATTTACTAATATATTTATAAGATATTCTCTTTTTCACAAAAGATCTTTCTTTAGTGAACTTCCTTCTTTATGGATTGGTTGGGGTAATGGGAGTAAAATTTCTTACTAAGCTCTGAGAGGATGCCTGGAAGTATCTTGGCCCTGATATTAGAATATAGGGATAGATAGCTAACACCTATTGTCCTTAGCTTTGAAACTCTAATGAAAATTCAGACAACAGAAATATTTTTCAACCTAAGTTTTATAGAGCATTTGACATATAAAATTAGTAGGATGACAAAGTAGACATCATTATTTAAAAAAAAAAAAGGAGAGTCAAAATATATGTGCAATAAAGTAGCATTGTTTGTAATTGTAAAAAAGAAAGAAAGAAAAAACCTGAATATCCATCAGTAAGGAAAAGTTAAATAATTATGGGGCCTCCACACATGGTAATATATCAAATATATAATGCTTTCAGAAAATGAAGTTTATATATCTATACTAACTTGGAAAGGCTGCTAAGCAAATCATCAAACATCAAGATACAGAATATAGAATAAAAGTTATAGAATATAGAATAATTCTATAATATGCATACACACAGACTTAGATGTTATTATGTATTAAAATGTAAATACAAAATCCATTATCCACCACCTCACCCCATAATTCTGTCTCCTTCCTAAGGAGGATTTTTGTTTGTTTGTTTGTGTCTCTCTGATCCTCAATCTTTGTAGTGTTGTTTAGCGGTAATAGGTGAAAATGTCAATTAAGGGTAGCTAAGAAACTCTAATTTTATTCTCATATAGGCAGAGTATGGAGCTACCTGAGGAAAGAAGAAACAGGTAGCCTGGAATTTTTTGACAGATGAAAAAAGACAGATATTATAGTGACTTTGAAGGAGAGAATTGTTTAAAGAGGAATTTTTGGAAATCCATGTGCATACAGAGAACAAGGGGATGTTATTCCCCACTCCTCATTCTATGTTCAAAATGTTCCAGTAAAAGCAGATACTAGATTTTAAAGCACTAGATAGTTACATTTGGATTTCTTATGGATATGACATTGTGATGAGATCAGTTTAAGGTAGTAGCAAAAGGCCTTGTTTTATTTGTAGGAGATATTATATAATACAATTTGTAGGATATATATATATATATATATATATATATAATGTTAAATGTTATATTGTTTATTACATAGGGTTAGGGTTAATATTGCGTTTTTATTTATTACATATATTTTATAGGCATAGAAAATGTTTTTAAAATATCCAATAAACCATTGACAGACACAACTGGTTACTTCTAGATAATTAGATAATTAGGTTGAGTGGGGATATTAGAGAGGAATGAAGACAAGCTTCTTTATTATATGTTTCTTTCTTTCTTTTTTTTTGAGATGGAGTCTGTTTCATCCAGGCTGGAGTGCAGTGGTATGCTCTTGGCTCACTGCAACCTCCGCCTCCCAGGTTCAAGCAACTCTCAGCCTCAGCCTCCTGGGTAGCTGGGAGTATAGGCACATGCCACCACACCTGGCTAATTTTTGTATTTTTAGTAGAGATGGGGTTTCACCATCTCGGCCAGGCTGGTCTTGATCTCCTGACCTCTTGATCCACCTGCCTCAGCCTCCCAAAGTGCTGGGATTACAGGCGTGAGGCACTGAACCGGGCCTATTGCATGTTTCTTCTATACACTGTTACCTGTTAACAGCAAGATTGTATTCTTATATAATAAAAAAGAGTAACAAGGAAAAAGGAAAAAGCATAACCTGTTCTGTGGTCAGTTAATAGAAAAATGTGTGACTGGATGTTAGATATTTGAGCTGAAAGAAATGTTTAGCGATAAGACTAAAATGGTAAGCTGCAAAAAGAGTACGCACCTTCTTCTGCTTCACCAGGGATTTACAACTTGACCCTTGGCAATAGAGGATCTTCAGAGGAATTTTTTTGCCGTGAAATAACTTGATTAGAGCTGTGATTTAGATAGAGAACACACATTCTCTTATTGATGTTTTTGTAACATCATTTAACTTACTAGCGTTTTCTTCACTCTACTTCTTTCATCTTTGTTTATTCTAAATAATAACCTCATGAACACAGTCACTTGAGCATTTGAATAACAGATGTAGTAAATTCTTTGGAAACTACAAATAATTATATATATGTTAGTTATTATTATAACATTATCCAACTTTCATGGTTTATGTATTTAAATCATTGTTTTCTGATTTATTTCTGGGTTTCCAATTATGGTCTCCTTACATAGTTGCCCCATGAACCTTTCTGTATTCTTTTTTAGTATCTCTCAGTTTAGTGTTCCATTCCAATTAAAGTTGCATGGAATATAAATAACATTTACAGCACCATTTACTTATTCTTTCAATGTTTGCGTATGCCTTCCTATTCTGCTTTATGTACTACTTACTATTTGAAAAACCCTACTATTTTTCATGATTGTCCACTATTAAACAAGTGCTCATTGCGTCACAGGGAGAAGGCATACACAAGTATCAGACAGTGCCATCTGATATGTGCTATCAGAGACATGTATCAGAAAAAAAAAAAGGCATTCAGGACAAGAACAGAATTGTGATTAGAGGTGATGTAACTGAAAGACCTATATAATGTGAATATGTATCTCCCAGTTAGTTAAATCTTAACAAACCTTCCCTGACTTTCTGAAACTCAGGGAAAAGAGAATATTTAGCGTTAATCAAACAAAGTTCTAGCAGATCACAAACATTAGCCATGTACCTGAAGCAAAAGGAAGAAAGCAAAAGGAGAGGTAGTCCAATCTTTGTTTTGAAATATTAATAGACTTCCTTTTTTCCTTATAAGAAGGGAAGACCATTTTAATCAAGACATTCATCAAACTCCCACTACCTCTTTTAAGAAAAGAAGGATCTACAAAATCCAGCAACTTGAACTACTTCAGCTGTTTTCCCCTTAAAGGGCTTAATGGGAATTCATTTTACCTCCAGTTAAGTCCAACCACACTATTCACTGTACACCAGAGAGAGGCTCATCCTAGATAATAATTTAGATAATCAAAAAAATTTACGAGATTCTCCTGGTAAGAAATCTCATTCCATATTAGTCTCCCGGAGAACAGGTAGAATTTTCCTAGAGAGTTATAAAGGATGGCATTTTGGACCTCATTTACCTTCCCAGAAACAGTGAAGACAGACATTTCTAGTTGCCTCATTCTGTCAACTGTACAAATATGCTCAATTAGCCTGTTTGAAAGCTAGCAAAGATTTTCTAAAATTCAGATTTGCCTGCCATTGAATCTCTGTTTATATTCATATCAACCTCTTTTTAAAAATATTTTGATAATTCTCACTGTGATATTTTACACATTATCCATTGATATTAATTTCATTTTTCAAATGGAGTCATCCAGTTTAAGTATTTAGGGGCACACAATTTGAACAAGGAATAGTTAATATACTGAATAGAACAAAAGCACTGCTTTGTGACTCCGGGGGTTTTGGGACAGGGGGTGGAGGGATTAGGGTGTGGTGTTTTCTGGAAGGCTTGAGACTACAAAGTACGGTGTTTAAAAACATACGCAAGAAAAGAAAATTTAGCAGACTTCCATTTCAGGCTGTATATCAGATTATATAGCCTAAATTACTCTCTCTAGTGAAACACTAAAAGTCTTGATAAAATAGAAAGGGCATCATCATTGTTGAGCTCAATAAAAGTAGAAAATCAATGAAGCAGAGGAAAAAAAGAAAAAGGCTAAACCAAGAACCTAGAGGAGATGGGAGTGGAGTGAGCGCTAAAGGCAATTTTCAACCTTGGGTTTTTGCCAGACTTTGGAGATTTTGAGCTTCTTCCTTTCAGGACTGCAAATGATGTAGAGGATAGGACCAGGTAAGTTCAAATGGATTTTTCTATAATTCATTCCCCACATATACATAGGGCTCCAAAGGACTACACCCACCACACCCATGAAATAAGGGTGAATTGAAAATTAAGCACCACTACAAAAGGAAACAGAAAGAAAACTTGGCTATTAATACCCTACTAGTAGATGATAAGAATATAAAGTATTTCCTAAGGATTCATACAACTTATATTGTCCAAAAACCTCAAGTGAGAAATTAAATTGATCATAGTACAGGTTTGGCTCCACTCCCAACAGATTGCAGAAGCAAACAGAAATTTGTTCTAAAAGAACTCAACTTCAATCCAGACTTTTAAGCTCAAGATATTAGATTTATCAGGTACAAAGTAGAAAATATTGATGTTTATAGAAATAAAAGAACAAGGTGAAAGCAGATACAAAAACAGCCAACTAGAACTAGAAGTAAAAAATAAAATATGGATTTTAAAACTTTTCTTTTTAAATAATTATAGATTCACAGAAAGTAGCAAAGGTAGTACAGAGAGGTCCCATATGCCCTTCACCCAATTTCATCAAATATTTACATTTTACATAACTAAATGCAATGTCAAAATCCAGAAATTGATATTGGTATAAAGCGTGTACTTCAGGGAGAAGAAAATACACAGTCCTATGTCATTTAATCAAAGATATATAATCTATAATCATGATGGCAATCAGGATATAGAACTATTCCAACACCATAAAGAACTCCCTTTTATAATCATAGGCATCCTCTCACCATGCCTCTTTTCTAGCCCCTAGAAACAGCTAATCTGTTCTCTTTCTCTATAACATTGTAATTTTAAGAATGTCATAAAAATGAAACTGTACAGTATGTGAACTTTTGTGTTTGGCTTTATTCACTCAGCATAATGCCCTTCAGATCCTTCCAAGTTGCTGTGTGCATCAATAGTTCATTCTTTTTTATTGCTGAA